ACCCCTTCCCCCTAGCCTATGGTTATGGTTATATCTCAGCGAAAATAAATAACTGGTCTTATATTTAAACTATAGGTCTAAGTTGTAACCACCGTCATAAGTTATATTGCTCCATGTCACCGAGCGCACAATTTATTACGGCATTTGTTTATGAAATACAATATGACATGACTACGACTTACTGTCAACTGGGCATTATGACAGCTGCCAAGTTACAAAGATTTACTGGATTTAAGGCTCAGAGAAACACCACATCTTAAAATTCCATAGGGATAAGATGGTAGCTATGGGTAATGTAAATGCTGTAATGGGGTCACTGCTAGGCCTGGACAGGGACGCCCCACCCCTAGCCCTGGAAGTCACTGGAACAATGCATCAAAATAATGCTCTGAGAATGTGACACTCACTTTCTGTACATTTTCTCCTCCGTCGATAGATGGGCCAGGCGCCGTTTCCTGCTGGAGATCGACGGGGGCTCCATCGTTTGGGCGTTCAATTCCACAGTACTGTCACCGCCAGCGGCCGCTGGAACGGTGATGATAAAAGCTTGCGGTGCAACCATATCCACTGCCTCTCGCACTTCACCAGCAACGACACTGACGAGGACGAACTCTGCGCTCACTGCACTGGCTCTAGACACGCATGTCAACTCGGCCGCCGTCACTTCGCCGTCTGGAATGCATTTTCGTCGAGGATTCCCTGCTCCCCTTTCCAGGCTGATGCAACACAAGCAGACTACGCAGCATAGGGCCGAAACGACGATGTGGTCTCACCTGATTGGTCTAGAGAGTTCCATTGACGTCATTTGGGTGGGGGAAGCTGGAGGAAGGGAGGGGGAAGGGGGAATCGACTGGTCGCTATTTTCTCGAGATCTCGAAAGTTTTGTCGAGGACAGAAGCGCGAAGTTTGACTGTAATCGGATCGCCCGCACTGCACCGCACAAGCACCGCACGCACATGCCTTGCACATGCACACTGAACTTTTCAAGAGATTGGTGCTTTGAGAATGGAGCAACTAAATTCTGACGAGGTGCTATACAAAATTAAGGAGTCTAGCGAAACAAATCATCACAAGCTCAGGTGTTATAAATAGTTTATTGATAATTTTAGAAATACCTCAGCAAAAGAAGGGAAAAAAAATCTTTTTTATTTCTCATGTTTCATTCACAACAACTTCAGTTCCTACTCTCATATAAATAATGAGCAAACAAAGAAGTTTTGAACTCCAATAATCAAACACGTAGGATAGCATAGCTTACACAAGATGGAATCACAAAATCAGAAATATTTGTAACATAGACCATGACCATGATGGAGAATATTTTTAGGGTTCATACATGCACACATATCATCAGAGGCCATGGAAAAACGCAAGGGCAAAAAACTAGCCTCACAACTGCCTTCACATGAGCAAACAATCACTATAATTTTAGAAAATCATAAAGAACATCTAAGACATAGCGCGTGCCAATGGTCAGATTGATGAGGAAGTTAGCGACAGATGAAAACTTCAAATATTCCACTAAGTACTAGGTATGTCATCACATTACTACAAAGACAAAAAGGAAAAAAAAACTCACTTAAGTTCTGGAGTTGTTCAGTGGTATCAAAAATTCTCTATGGTTCAGTGGGATAACTAGATAGTCCACAGACAATCAGTTGAGACAATAATAAATAAAAATGTTTGTTTATAAATTCATCTAAAGATGACTGACACAGTCAATGGCACAACTTTGATTGCCATACAGGTTCCCTGTTTCATGAACACAATGGGATCCATATTTTGTTTCATGCACATTATGCATTTATACTACATGATCATACATGATATTTCACAGCCAATAATGTTCACGCGAAAAACAAATACACATACATACATTCTTGTTTCTGAAGTGCACTGTATGTCAACTGACATTTATAGGATGGTAGAACACAGTAGTAAGATACTTCAGCAACAGATTTGGAATATCTGTATTGTTCATTTAAAACCCTTGAAGTCCATTATATACTTTGAAGGTTGAATCTTGTCCTAATAGAGTCTTAATTTCTGTGGATAAAAAACAGCAACATTTTGTTGATTATCAAACCCAAAAGTAGAGGGAAAAAGCTGAAAGTTTCTAGGATGAAAATAAATCCTACCTTCTTGTTCCTTATCTGTTAACACTTTTTTGGGAAATTCAACGTCAAAAGTGATTATAAGGGCACCATGTAAATTGTTGTTCTCAAAATTAGGCATGCCTTCGCCCTTCTTACGGATTTTAGTGCCAGGAGGGGTCACTTTGTCCCTAGATACCTGTAATGGAATAAATAGGTATCAATATTGAAATGAAATGAGCCTACTGATGAGCGGTGGAGGAGATATTAAAATGAGATAGATGAAAATGACGACTATACTTACAGTCACTTTGTGTCCATCCAAATGATTTATTTCAGTCGTAAACCCAATGAGGGCATCTTGTAGGGAAATAGTAATATTGGTATAGAGATCATCACCATGACGTTCAAACCTCTTGTGAGTCTGGGTTTTAATTTTTAGAATGAGGTCTCCTGGCTCCCCATCAACATGAGGCTCTCCCTCAGCAACAAATTTAGTTTCTTGACCTTCTACCATGCCAGGCTCAATCTCAATTTCTAAAGTCCTCTCCTCATTAACTAACCTGCAATAGAAATTGGGAAAGATTAATATCATCTGGTAAAAACGATGAATTTTTTATAAATTGTTGAAATTGACATACTGTAAAAATGTAGCCACACTAATTTCCAAAACAGGACAATTTGGCCTCAGAACATCCTTGTAGTAAAATAGATGCATAGCAACTGCACTTACTTGACATTAGGGCATTCATCACAAACAGTCTGCTGCATCATTTGGAAACGACCAGGACCAAGTGATTTTGTGACAACTTCTTGTCTACAGTTGCATTTTCGTGTGCCTTTAGCTGGTTTCATCACAGGTTTATTTCTTGTGATCTAGGAAGGGATGTTTACATGTTCAATTAAAGAGCTCTTACAAAGTTATCATTTCGATTTAGTGGACTGCTAAAAGACATAACCAAATGACTACTTACCTCAACAAAATTTCCGGAGTAGAGTTCTTCTAACGTCACCCATAAATCTATGACAATATTGGCTCCTTTTGGTGTTTCATGTTGATTATCATGTGGATTACCAAACGGAAAGAAATCACCACCAAAAAAGCTAGCGAAGGGATCCCCTCCATGGTTCATCATACCTTCTTTCTTCAAACATTCTTCACCACACCGATCATATTGTTCCCTTTTGTCCTGGTCTGAAAGTACCTATAAATAGGAAAAATCAATTAAATGACCTTATCTACCAGGGAGTTCAAATAAGGGCAAAGTTTGTATCATCACTCACTTCATAAGCCGCCCCTAAATCCTGGAATTTGCTTGAAGCATCTGGATCATCTTTATTCTTGTCTGGATGTAGTTCCTTAGCTAGCCGTCGGTATGCTTTTTTAATTTGATTAAGATTAGCATTGCGCTGTACTCCTAGTATAGAATAAAAGTCTCTCCTGTGCAAGGTCATCAAAAGAAGTCAATTAGTAACATTCACAATTTGAACATTGGATATTTAATAATTATTGAATCGCCATATAGGTACCATAAGCAAGGACAAGTTTAAAATAAACATTTAAACTTTTAGCTCGCTTGTTCAACCATGAAGCAGATCCAAAATTATGAAGAATTCAGAACTAAAACTAATAAGTGTACCTACTTTATAACTTTAAACACATGATTTGAAAATTGATTTTGTAATTATGACATTTACTAAAATGTTAAATTTGTTGTTATTAACTGTCAATTATGTGGCATATAGCGAGCCGCAGCAGAAGATATGTACACTGACATGGGCCTCTAACCATACACAAATTAAAAGTACGATGTCTTGGGGTATAATTTTTAACCTAGATTATTCCGCCAACGTTACTCACCCACACTGAACAGCAATAAAACATATAAGTAGATTTAAGGCAAAAAATGTAAAGGATTTAACTGAAGCCATTGCAGACAACACCTCTAACTTAAACAAGATGTGGTGAATGGTGATTGGCTGATTCTCGGGTTCAGGCCGTCACGAACACCCTTCACAACAACAACAAAAAAGTAGAATTACATTGAAACATGTTACACACTATAAGACTAAAGAACACTTAGTTTTCTTGTCGTAACGTTTAATAATGAGAAAACATGGAAAACTGTGCAGTACTATGAATACAATACATTTTATTATCTTCCATAGACTGCGTTTCTGTCACGTTTGGTTGGTGACCTTGTTTGTTGTTTTCATTATTCTCTTGTCAACATTTGACACGTCTGACGTCTGCTTCAAAACTAGCGAGCGAGTTCTGTCCAAAATTAGTGCCAGTTTGGTCTTTTAAGTGTAATTTGATCACTAATCTTAGACTTAGAAAATGATTATAAACGGGATAGAGGTGATGGTACCCGCTCCTCTCGACGAGCCTTTCGGTGCCACCCAGTTACAAATCCAAAATGATTTCATGCAAGCCTGTATGGATGCCTTTGCTGACAAGGTATGGTATTAAAATTAAATTAAAATAGTTCATTAATAGTTAATTATGATTCGGGGGAAAACAATAAATTTTTTAACAATCTTCAATGTAATTTTCCTAACATTTTGTCAGTACCTAAATTGATGTGTTCATTTTATTTACACTAACTGGGGCTCATATTTTTGCTTTTTCTTTGTAAACTGTCCGTCTTCCAACTGTAACACCTACTCTGTTGATGGTTCCAGGAAAAGCCATCTTTCCTTGAGTCACCGGAGGGAACAGACAGAACAGTTACCCTCTTGAGTACCGCTTTGGCTTGGATCGACCATCAATTTAAGACGAAAGGTATGTTTTCTAAAGCTTTTGTCAAAGATTGTATCTATTTACTGGTCCCCCTGTCTCATCTGACAAAATTTCTTTAGAGACACAGACGAACAAAATACTCTACTTGTGTGGTACCAATGATGGATGTCATAGAATTATTCAAGAATATAAAAACAGGATAGAAAAGAATTATGATTTTGAAATGAAGTTACTCGATTCTGAAAACATTTCAATCTTCAATCAAACTGATGAGGGATTGCAGAATAAAAGAGATGAGGTTGATAGCAAAGAAACGACCAATGCCAAAGAAAATAAATGGGTGGTTAATCCAGTTATCATTTTCGGTACTCACAATCTTTTCATTGAAGGTATCATGTCGAAGTCCCGGAAAGGCACATTCAGTTTAAAGGTAAGTTTAACATGGCCGCTGTCAGTATCAAATTGATATGACCTTTATCGAAAGTCTAAACTGCAGGAAGAAATATTTGTTTCAGGATACTATTGTACTTGTCGATGATGCTCATCTTATAGAAGAGACAGCAAGGAATGCTATGAGTGCTTCACTTAGTCATTGTGTTTTTCAAACTTTTGAAAAGGATCTAGAACAGGTTTGTTTCTTTTCACATATACTGTATCTCCCAACTGTCATTTTCTTGAGTTTAATTGGCAACTTTTCTTTCAATTGTAGGGAGTTGGAAGTGGTCATGAACTGTCCGACTTTGCTTTTCAGCTGAAGAGGCTGAAGGCAATTTTTATGATGAAACCTTATGTAGAACATTACGGATTTCCATCTTACAGCTACAAGGATTTAGAGCATTACTTGAAACCCATTCATGATTCTGCACCATTATTAACAGTTCTTAAGAATTTCACAAACATAGATACTAATAATGTTAACAATATTTTGAAATTTATTTCACATATTTTTAATTTTTCTGAATTAGAATCGGAGTTAGACTCTGTGAAAGCTTATACATCTGAAGATTACTTTGTTGGGCAACACATGCATCATTGTAAAGAAGGAAGTAACTGCAAAACTATACAAATTTTATGTATTGACCCTTCTGTTCTAATCAAGAGGATTCTCAAATCTAATGCTTCTCCAATTTTTACAAGTGCCACAATTTCACCTCTCTCAGGATTAAAAACAGAATTGCAGATTGAGTTGTCAAATGATTTCACAGGAAAATCTTTTGTAGAGGACTTTCAGGTAATTTTCTTTTAGATTTGTCATACTGTTTTATGCCAACTGTTCCTAAGGACACATGAAAACAATCATTTTTATTTTATTTTCTAGATCTTTTGCAGAATTGTGTCTTGTGGTGCTGGAGGCTATTTCCTGAATTCTTCCTTTTCTACACGGTATGGACTTCATTGCATATGTTACTGTCACCTCACAGCAATATGAGTTTATCATATTTTTCTCTTATTTGCTACAGGGATGATAAGGATTATTTGACCTCTTTAGGAAAAACTGTTTTGGAATTTTCAAAGGTTACACCTGAGTGTGAAGGCGTCTTAGTGTACTTTATTTCTGCAAGTTTATTAGAAAATTGTGTATCACATTGGCAGATTGCCAAGCCTGCAGGACAAGTAACATTATGGGATGAAATCTGTAAATATAAGGTAAAGGTTATCTCCGAATTTTTTTTTTTTTTTTTAAAGAGCAGTCAAGCCAAAACTTGGTAGATTTAGAGAAGAGTGAAGTTGAGGTTACTGCCCACCACACCATATGTGTTTAAAACTTCTGAAAAGTAAGGTGTACCACATGATAACTCCCTTTTTTTTCAGGACATCATTTCAATATCTAGAAAGGATGACCAGGACAAGGTGGAAAAGTTAAATAAAGAGAAAGGATCATGTATTCTTACTACGATTCGGGGACCTGTACGTATTAGCAAAAACCAATGTTTTAATTACTTATCTGACTTTAAAAAAAGATATTTAATAATTACTATATCACTTTTGTTTTTTAATGGAAGATACCTGAAGATAAGTTATCTATTCAAAAGAGGAGAGTTGTGATTGTTGTGGGAGTACCCTTTTTGTATACAAAGGACCCACAACTTCGTTTAAAAAAAGAATATAATAAAGAGAAAATTAGAGACAAAAATTTGAAATTTTTGTCAGAATCACAATATGAACAAAGAGAGGCATATAAACTGGTGAACAGAGTTATAGATCGCCAGATTTGCTCTAAATCCCAGTATGGTGTTATTCTGTTATTGGACACTCGATACAGGGAAAGTGAACTGTCCCCTTCGATTCGATTAAAAATCCAGAGAGAAAAGAGATTTCATGAACTCATTTTTGAGTTGAAGGACTTCTTCTCTCATGTAAAAGACAGAGTCTCATCAACAAGTGTAAGTGCTTCCACTAAATTTAAATCTGTCAACAAATGTATTGTGTTTGTTTTCTTTGACAATGTTTGATATTGTTGTAAATTTTAGGTAAATGAAGAACTAGTCAGTACTCAGTTTGGAGGGAAAGTAAAAAAATGGGAGTTTGAAAAAAGTCGTCTTGAGTATCTTAAATTAAAAAGGCAAAATGACAGGTATTCTGGTAATAAAAAATATCTTGAAAATATGCTGCAGGAGCATCTTAAAGCCAATGAACTGCTGAAAGAAGATCTTGAAAAACTTAAAGCTCAAGTGCCAATAGCAAAAACGCCTGTGAAAAGAGAACACCCTGTCAGTCAGTCAGGAAGTGGCAGTGAAGGTTATAGCCACAGCCCTATCAAAATTCCGAAACTAGAGTCTCCAAAAAAAAAGGAAGAGTGTTCTATCAATCAAGCTGGGGGAAGTTCCATTGTAAGTCCAATCAAATTAAGTCTGGAAGAGTTACATATTCAGTCGCCTGCAAAGGAACTGAGCTCTGTCAGTCAAGCTGAAGGTGCTGTGAGACTTGTAAGTCCCCTCACATCTGATTTCTCATCTAAGAAAAGATCCTACGAAGATTAAATTTACCAATGATAAATATGTGATGTTTCTCTTCAAATCTTTTATCTAATCTAATGAAGACTCTAATAAAGACATTTATACATTCTATGGTTGTTGTGGTACTTTGAATAGGATGTCTAATGACATTCATTTTAAGTTTGGGTGGCTAAATTTTAAGTTTGTCGGTGAAAAATCTTTTATTTAAGCCAAGTGCAAAATCAATACCATACACAGACATTTACATTATAGGAGGAAGCAGCTGACTTTCAAGTGCAGTGTTGCAGGGGGTGTGGCGCAGTGCCATCCCTGCTGAGTACCCGAAGTCAGTCCGCCATTGCTCCTCCCATTATCTGGACCTACAACCTTTTATAGCCTTTGCTTACATTGAAAGCCCTAGTTGCTGTAGGAGACAGTCAATTTGGAGATGAGAATTTCATCAATAGATCACAGAAAAAGACATTGTCAACAATATTCTCTTTGAGTCATGCATGTCATGGACAATTCTTTTAGGCACAAACTAGTTCTAATATTTCTCGTTTAGGAAAAATACAATCAATTTGCAATGTTAATAACAGCACATGAGAATATGGGCAATGTTAAAACCTACAAAGGCCACACAACAGTATTAAAAATTTAATTTAAAATGATTGTAAATAGATTACAATGCTAATTACATTCAATCTAATTTTGAAAATGCATACGCACTTCCTGGTGATGAATATAGTACCCTGATCGACATCAATCAACTTCTTTTTCTTTTTGTTAAAATTTAAAACCAAATGCTCAAAATTAACAGTAGAATAAGATCTAACATTTTATACGTAAAGGAAGTGCTAATGCAGAGTTGCCTGCACGTGATTATTGGATTATTAGTCTAATTGTACATCCCAGAACTGAACCAATAGATATCACTATAAAAATATACTGAAACATTCTGTCCACAGTGGAGAAAAAATAGCAGGCCCAATGGCTAAATTTCTACTATTAAAGGACATTGCCCTCTGGGCATTTAAATTAAAAGCGGAAGAAAACAAGGAAAAGAAAGGACCTTTTCCTACCAAGTTAACTGCAAGTATGTTTACCAAAAGATAGCTCTTATGTAGATCTCTCATTTACCACCTATAGATAGGTAAACAAACAGAAGTAACATAGCAGGGATTTGATGGTAATTTCAGGTACAACTAAGGGATAAGATTTTTTGGGGAGACTAACTCTTTATGATCAATTGACTTATACAGTGTAATCTCATTACTTTGAGAATAAGCTGACATAAGATAAAACACGTTTTAGTCTTCTAAGTAAGACAAGAAGTACCTAAACCATTGAACCCTGATTTGAGCCACAAACACCACTTTGTATTTAATTAAAATACAACATTCACTCTGTTTACAAAACAGAACAGTAAAATCATTAATCACATTATGAAAAATTAACCAAAGCAATTCATATAAGGCACCATGGTTAATACACATGCATAGTAGGAAAACCTAATTTATAATTGAGGTACAGAATACCACCGATGACAGCCAGATGGTACTTAGATAAGGTGCTCCCCCCCCCCCCTTACCCCTCCAACCAAAAAATAAATTAATGAGAAACATAACTTGAAAAAAGGTCGACTGAGCCATCAATAGGGTGGAAAATAGAAGATCAAAACTTCTTCTTGATTGGTACTACTTAACAAATTAGAAAATCATAAAAAAAAAAAACACAAAAAGATTGCACTAATGAAAAGCATAGTAACCATACCATAAACAATACACTGAAAACATCACATAAACAAACACAATTAAAATAGACAAAAAATTAACTGATAAAAGAAAACAAAAAAAACAAAAAACAACCTAAGGCTCCGACATGAATGCTGATGATCAATAATAGCTCTTGGAGACAACTTCGGTTCACTCCCTCCCTGACATTCAACTGAGTATTAAAATATAGCTCTGGGAACATTTTAACATGATAACAAAAAGAGCATTTTGAATGCACAGGATGCACGGATGTGGATGGTCATGTCATCCTTAAGGTGATGAACTGTAGCTGTATTTGAACCTCTGCAGCATATTTTTTAACAGGAGACTGCAGGTCTTGTATTACTGCTGAGATGGACTAAAGACTACCTTGAGACACCTTTCTTCTTATTTTGGTTCGTTTTTGTAGATATATGAACATCTCTCAGGACGGTTGGAGTCATCTGCCGGCTACATTGTGCATTGACAAATTTACCTCGATCACATCACACACAGTGCCTACATTTTTCTGGGATAAATTATCAAATGGCACCATCTAATTTAAAATCTTGATTGCCAGTAATCAAGAGTAAGTAGGTAGTTGAGACAGACATTACTACCGCATAACATAATACATTTCTCGGATATTATTTTTATTTTTTAACACGTCACATGCGGAGTGAGACAATTCCTAATTTTATTGGAACCCACAGTGTGGATCACCCTGCACTCAACGTGTTACAGGAGATTCCGCTTTTGTTCGTAAAATAAGGTACAAATATTTTGACAAAACTAGGAATGACATATATGCCAAATGAATTTCTATGCCTTAACTATTTTGATGCTTGACAAAATAAGTTTATGTTTGAGCATTTCCAAAATAAAAAAAAAACAAAAAACAGTATGCTTCATTATATGAAGCCTCACCACAAACTGTTATAAATTAACACATGTACTGGTCACAATAGCATACAATTATTTTTGGCTCCACCGTTCAGATCAAAAATTGTGCCTTGTGTTAAAGATTCAGTTTTGAAATAAGTGAACACATTTACAAAAGTATTTCAGTTCATCCAAAGAAAAAAAAGCAATAGCTATTAAATAAGATACAAAATAAAACAAGATCTAATAAAACAAATAATAATAACAAGAATGAACAATAATATCAGCAAGCCAAAAAGAAATAAGCAAATTGTTTGATGTTTGGCTTGCGTCATATTGGGAGAAGTAACTCAGGAAAAATGACCTGTTTCACTCCCACACACATTCTTATATCACAGTGACACTTATCTTTTCCATTTGATGCAAAAGAAAAAGGTCTTTTCCTTTTCTTGAAGATCATTGCACAGCCTTTAACTGTATTTGTTTTTCCTTAGCTCACAGATTTACAGTTTTCCCATCTTTGGACAACATACTTTTAACACCTGAAAATTTTTATAATTAATATCACAAAACACAACTACAACTCAATAACACTTCGTGAAAACTCATATCTTACCCTTGATAGAATTGCTGTAGGCCATCCCTAGATAATCAAGTTCATGTAGCAATTCCTTTAAGCTAGTTCCTGATTGCTTATGTATTTTTACAGTTGGAGCGGGTCTTTTGGTAGTTTGCGTGTGCCAAACCAAAACCTAATTACAGGGGACATAGAGATAAAAATCATTTCACAAGAAGCATCAATTTAAGAAAATCAATTTACAATATACATACTTGGGTGCATCCATCAGCTTTAGGTTCTATGTCATCAAGAGTTAGATTCAAACTTTTCAAGAAATGATCCTCTTCATAACCAGCTTTATAAGGCATTGATGCTTCAGGGTGTTTCAAGAAAAAGTCAATATTTACAGCAAAACCGGCCATATCTACAGGAAAAGTTCGCTTTGCTGGCCAAGAATCATAAAATCCAATTACTTTTCCCTGTAAATTCAGAATAAACTTGTTATTATCGCATGGAGAAAATTTTAATCTTAGAAGTAAAAGAAAGCTAGTGAATTCACATACATCTTTAATGACTGGAGAGCTGACACCATAGTCTCCAATAAGACCAACTGGAAACATGGAGACTTTTTTTGTGGATCGAATTTCATTAAAAAGTCGAAGATCGAATGTATTGTCATCATCCCCAAAATAAAGAACACCTTGCTTTACATTTGCCTGGATCCAATGAAGAGCAGCACGTCTATTTGCAACACCTCGAGGAACAGTACTTGCTTTGCGGTACATTTCTGGCATTGGACTAGAAATGTGAGTGAATGGAATCCCTGTGACACAAATATGACAAAATATAATTTATCTGTAGAATAATTTAAAAATGCGAAGAAAACTTGAAAAATTCAACAGTATTAAAAAAAGACAGTCTGTTTACCAAATTTTTTTAAAAGCTCCATGACCATAGCATTACAAAGTCTGTTATCATCAGCAACAATCCAATGCAGATTGGGCACATGCATTAATGTCTGACCCAGGCGGGTTAGCTCAGCGACTTGCTCCCTACGAGGATATGATGGGGTGATAAAATATATCATTGGGTCTTCTCTTGGCTTTAATTCTCGAGTGTCCTGAAACAGAAATATCAAAAATCTGAAGTAATAATTCACTGGGAAACAAGTTAAAATTGTTATAAAATGAAAGAATAAAAAAAAGTAATGTGTACAAAAATTGTTTTACCTCACTTTGCTCGTGACACAGAACTACATTCTCTTGATAGGCAAAGCGTTTCAACTCTTTTCCTTGGGAAGACCATACTAGATATAGTACGATAGTTGTCATAGCCAGCATGAGCAAAAACATACTCTTTAATTGGCTCATTTTGGCTGAAAAATTTCATTATCTTATATACGTAATGATCCTGGAAGATAAAATAAACAAACATCAATGTGGTAACAACGAACATTTCAGCTTGAATGCTTCGCAGAGCCTCCCCACATGTGAAAATGCCACTGAATGTGGACATGCATGTTCAGAGACCAAGAAAAAGAAATCTAAGACACATTGATCGAGGCAGTGGCAAAATTTAACTGAATTAAACATTGTTGTTGGTGCACAGTGCATAACCAATTCACCTGCTGAGCTACTCACAAGTGTCACATTCAATGGAAGAAAAATGTCCTGGAATGACTAATTTTAAGGATCGATGTCATAATGATACTCTTCGCTGAATTTTTCAGACGGGTGTGTCATGTATAATACCGCATGTTCTTATAGCCCCTTGATATATTCTCAAGATATATTTTACTGGCAAAAAGTTTTCTACTGCAAATTTACAGGTTAAACTGTGAATAATTTTTTTCTTGCACTTGTAGCCGAAACTTTGGACTACAAGGAAGACACCTTAATTTGATTCCTTTTATTCAAGTTATATACTGAAAGGTTGACTGATCGCAAAATTGCGTTTAGTTTTTAATGTATTTTTCTTTATTTTTGTTTTATTCGCGTAGCGTGGCCATAACACAATCAACCGCCCCCCACTTCTGCTGACGTCTGCTGGAACGGGCCCACTACAGTTGAGAGTGGAGGCGACGGCGAGCGCAAAGATCCCGTAGGCAAAATAATGGCAGAAGCAGGAGACGGGAATATTCTTAATTCTCAACCCAAATGTAGTCCGACGGCTATCACAGATGCTCCAATTACAGACCCAGGATCAACCATAAAGGTGTGTTACTTTTCCTACTTTGCTGTCCCAGTCCGTGTCGTCGTGACAGCTCACTCGCCTGCGGCTTAGCAGACCATTTCCCCTTAGCTCTTGGGTCGTGACATCAGAAAAATCGTATGTTTTTCAGTTTAGAAGGGAAATCCTGCGTGGAATTTTTCTCCTTGAAAGCCCCCATTAATTATTTTTCGACACTCCATTCACAAGAAATTTGTGGAGTCTTCAGCACAAGGTTGACTTAACCCTATCTGGTTATTTGTTATGGTTTTTCTGTGACATAACTTTGACGTTTTTCATTAGAGTGAACTACCCTTAGCGCCGTACTTTAGATGGTGACTGTCACAGTTATTCTATGTATCATCCAATTTTCGTCGGGAAAAAATGTACATTACCTTATGGGATTTATGTATCCATCTGTTTGTGGCAATCTTATCATGAGCATGTGATGCTTAGATGCCTTCTGGTACCAGATCTTGTTTACCGTGAGAAATGTGTGTGGGTTTTTTAGAGAGTACAATTTAAATCTAACGAGGTAGGAATTATTATTAGTTTAGGTTTGTAAGTATTCTATAGGATCTTTTTTTGTTAGATGTTTTGCCAAAATATTTTCTTTTTTTCGGCAAAGAGTCTTGAGGTTTTAGATGGTGGTGTGTGAAGCACACTTTTGCGTAGCAAATTTTTATGGAAAATTATTTGTATTGATTACAGAATATAGAGGGATCGAATGCCTTTGTTGGGCAAAGAAAGTTGGTGAGTAGAGAGAGTTTTTTTGCTTAACAATTACTTCCTCTATTCACTTGATTAAATGCTTCTTGATTTGCCTATCAAATAACATAGTGCTTACAGAACAATTGCTTATCTTAATGTCATTTACTGTAGTTACTACCATCTGCTGCACAAACAATGCTTGATTGCTAAATTACACTAGCTGTTTGCTTTTCCTTCTGGTGGCCGTCTAGGCTCTCATCTAGTTATGTTGTGCATACCATTTAATGTTGAAATATTTTTTTATTTTTTCGGTCAGCTAGTTTTTTGCATTATTTCCATAAAATCAAATTCTCTCATGCAACTTGCCAGATATCCAAATATTAATTAGCATACCTCTTTTGCTTTGCAAATTGTTACCAAAATTCAATCACTGCACTTGCCAGCTGTTTGACTGCCCATGCCTATATATTTGTGTATTTTGGTACATTCCGAACTCTAAAGTTCACCATTGGAGAGTAAGAGAAGGGCGTGGAGGAAAAAGCAACGAGAATAAGGGGGATACATTACTTCTAGCGCAGATTCGAAATAATTTGTGGTAGAGAGTTACGTGGCCAGTGCGCGGTTAGTCGGACTGGATCAGACGGTCAAACTAGTTAAACCCGCCGCCCCGCCTCGCCCCGCCCC